CAACCCTCTCCTCCAAACTGATGGATCCCAGGCGTCTCGCATGGCGAACAAGGGCGCGCTTACGTAATGACGTATTTGTCAGGCATACTGTGTATGTACACGCACAAACACGTCCCCGAGTACTGGCAGCCAAACCTTGCCGAGCCCTGTCTTGCCACATCTCTCTGTGCGTGTGTAATGCACGCTAAGTAGTTTGGCCGGAACGTGTGGGAGTAGATTCTAGAAAAAAGCCTCTAAGTGGGTGAGTCAATGTTGCTTTAGAGCAGTGGTTCTCAAAGTGTGGTTCCCGTGACCACCATTGACTGGTCCGCGACAGTCCTCCAGGTGGCCCGCGAGGCTGTGATGCAATTGCAGGTTGATCCCGAAATAATGACAATGTTTCGGACATGAATGCATATTTTACTCGTGATATTTAATTTCAAAATAAAGTGAGGTAAACTACCCCTGAGTAAACTATCCAAACCATGAGATCTAAATGCCCCCCGTACCCCCCACCTAAAAAAACTAATTTTGGTATTAGTGGTATTTAGACAGAGAAGTCCATAATAGAGGGGTTTTTTTTGGTTAGGGCGCGTAGATATATCAATGTGTGTCGTTAAAACCCGCCACCACCCGACACAGCCCGACAGCCAACTAGTAAGGGTTGTCACGTAAACAGAACGTGGCCAATTCGTCACTAGTACGGCATACTTGTCTATTGGAGAGCCAAGCCACAACATTTACAATCCGAGTACGACGTTTCGCCAGTAGTTACAACTAGCTTAATTGGTCGACAGCCAGATTTGTGGAGAAGTCCACCTCTATTATGGATTATATTGGTCGCGAAAGCCTACGTGTTAAAGAGAGAGACGTGATAGCGTTTTGTCACAAGGGATGCGGGGGTGGGTCTGCGTAAATGTTTACATCGGTTGAGTGGTCGGCGGGCCAATAGAGTTTGAGAAACACCGCTCTAGGGTGAAAGCTTTGTAATATTTGGATACAGCTGCCGTGGTTGCCACGCTGGACTTGCAATTCAGAGGTCGCCGGTTTCGATCTGCCGTTGTGCCAGCGGATTAAAACAATGGGGCAAGTTAACTCCATCAATCCCACGGCCTCTGTCCACTCGGCAGTATAAAGTGGTTCACCACAGTCAGCCGATCGGCAGCTGTGTGTCTGTGTGGTGCGGTGAAATGTGAGTGCCTCCAGCCCCACCACCTCTTCAGCGATGTCTGAACAGCGTGGAAGCGCAGGCCCAAGATAACATCCTGAGGGGTTCTCTTCATCTCCCTCTAGCGGAGGTCCAAACCCCGGCGGTGGCGTCAGAAAGCTGCACCTACGGCAATAAAAAACCCCCATAGTGCCGTGCAAAATGACCCTACTCACGAATAAGAGGGGGAGGAGAGATGACAATAGTGGAGGGGCACGTTCGCACGGAATCCCCATCTCGCGATGGGGGTGTTGGCACGTCCGGCAGCGGCGATGGGCCCGCGGGCCAGTTCTGTTCCAGCACCACACACTCAGCAGTGTGTTCCAGCACCACACAGCAGCAGCAGCAGCACTCTGTGTGTCCCAGCACCACAGACTCAGCAGCAGCAGCACTCTGTGTGTTCCAGCACCACACACTCAGCAGCAGCAGCAGCAGCACTCAGTGTGTTCCAGCACCACAGACACAGCAGCAGCAGCACTCTGTGTGTTCCAGCACCACACAGCAGCAGCACTCTGTGTGTTCCAGTACCACACACTCAGCAGCAGCACTCTGTGTGTTCCAGCACCACAGACTCAGCACCAGCAGCACTCTGTGTGTTCCAGCACCACACAGCAGCAGCAGCAGCACTCTGTGTGTTCCAGCACCACACAGCAGCAGCACTCTGTGTGTTCCAGCACCACACACTCAGCAGCAGCACTCTGTGTGTTCCAGCACCACAGACTCAGCACCAGCAGCACTCTGTGTGTTCCAGCACCACACAGCAGCAGCAGCAGCACTCTGTGTGTTCCAGCACCACACAGCAGCAGCAACACTCTGTGTGTTCCAGCACCACACACACAGCAGCACTCAGTGTGTTCCAGCAACACACACTCAGCAGCAACACTCTGTGTGTTCCAGCACCACACACTCAGCAGCAGCAGCAGCAACACTCAGTGTGTCCCAGCACCACACACACAGCAGCACTCAGTGTGTTCCAGCACCACACACACAGCAGCACACACTCAGCAACACTCTGTGTGTTCCAGCACTACACACACAGCAGCACTCTGCTGTTCTCACGGCCGTTGCAGTTTTCCGTAGACGGGGACAAGTCCTGTCCTTGCAGCATGGTTAACGTCCCTCACGTACGCGTATTTTATTACTGCGTGGCTTTGTGCGAGCGCCAGTCCTGGTGGCGTCAGCGGGGGGGGTGGAGAGGAGGAGCGGAGGACTCGCTGTCGGCGTAATGTTTAGATTGTCACACGAACTCCGGTCATGCCTCACAGCCAGCGGCTTTTGGCTGGCCATCGGGTAAAGACGGTCATCGTGTCGCGCTCTTTCAGGTGCGCTTCTGCGGCCGTCTGGAACGTCTTTCTTTCCGATATTAGGAAGCCACTCTGAGCTGGAATTTAGCCAAATTGAGTGACAATCTAAATTTAATATGATGGGGGGGTTTTTTTAATGCATAAGTCAATGGTAACCAGGTCTGGAACGTGATCTCGCTACACTTGATAACCCGGTTGAGTCACAGGCGCCTGAAGCCCTGGATTCAGACACAGGGACTTCAGTGTTGACTCAGCACTCTGAGCCCCTGTGAGACAACCGGTCATTTCAGGTATCATTTCAAAGCATCTGTTTAAAGGATGTTGGAAACTAACTGACCTTTCGGACTCATTTTTTTAATACAATTAGTGGTGTACCTCACAAGCACTTGTGAATAATGTGGGTGGATCATCTGTGTTACGAACCAGATTCCATGGGCACGGCTAACATTCAGTGGCTGATTGATGTCTGAACCTGTCCTGCCCCCCCCCCCTCCCTATTCTCCAACCCGCATTGATCACCGTGGTCAATTATAGTCGAACAATCCTCACGGAGAGGGCCTGATCCAGCATTGGATTGCCAGAGGACGCTCCACCACAGGAATCATAAACTAATTTCACGCAAATTGGCCCTCGGCTAGGATTCCAGCTGGCAACCTCTCCACTCTGCCGAGGTATGCCACTGCGCCAATTATCTCCCACGCAAACAATCATGGAGTGTAACGATGCGTAGAATAATCGCTTAATAACAATTCTTAATCCGGCGTTACACTTAGAGCATCGTGTGACTAAGACTTAACATCTCCAGATTAAAATGTGCGGCATGTAATGGGTTCATTTTTTTCCCCTCCAGTCACTGGAGGCAACTTTATTTGCATCACGCCGCGTCTGGCACACAGACCAAGACGGTGCCACATCACGCCGTGCCACAACGCCTATAGCCACACACACACATACAGCAGCAGTTGTGCCTGGCTCAAGGCGATGTGGAGGGCTGGTGCCCACGTCCACGTGTGACTGACGATGACGGGTGGTAGACGTGGAATGCAGTCTTGTTTTGCCACCACTGACTGAGCAGTCTGCCGGATTGGACGAGCTCCCACGCCGAGCGGCAGGTGTTGGTTAGGGTCCACCGCTGGGAGTCACGAGACCAATGAGCTCCTGTCACGATATGCACGGTTGGCTACGTACGGTGCGAAAGAGCTTCAACGTACATACGGAGGTTGCAGCCTTGACCCTCTGCCTTGTTGTCACTCGGGGCTCTGTCGACAGTCATAGGGGGTCCGCATTGGCCGTTTTCCGCATAGGCACGTGAGGCTTGGTCTGAATACAGCCCGTGGAGGCTTGGCGTGACGGTGGGTGCGCCACGATGGAGAGATGGTTAACTCCCTCGCCTGGTATGGAGGAGGTCCGTGGGTTCCATCCCGATCCTGACGCCTGCTGCTGCTGCTGTATATTTGTAGTTTGCGGGTCTCTCTCTCCCCGTGGGTCGCGTGGATTTTTCTCCGGGTTCTCCCGGCGTTTTATTCCACGTTTGTAATCGTGAGTTTCGAGTATTTGGCTGCTAGAAATTTCCACGTGATAAGCCACTTCGTTGAGCTATCATTTGTGACCAGCTCGCTGCTGACAAAAGAGCTGTACAGCTCAGTCAGCGTTACCTGCTAAAATACCAAAAAACATAGTTTAGTTTAAATTCTCGTCTGGCCGGGCGGAGCACACCAGACGGATGTTTGGCTGATTGCATCGCCTTTCAGCTGTCGCGTATTTTTTTGTCAGCGGGACGGGGAAACAAAATGTACCTCCCCGCGAACCGATTTCTTCTACTTTTCTTCGAGGAATCCGGGTACCATCGCTACCGGCCAGCTGTGGCTTAGAGGTAGACCGGACGAGACTGGTAGCCAGCAGAGTCAACGTTCCACATTTTCCGGGGTGGGTTTGAGACCCGTTACAGAGTTCAGTTTGACCGTGCAAGAAAATGCAGCCTCTGACTGCACCAGACTCAGGTATGCCACCCATGCTGATGAATTAATCATTCCACCTCCACTACTCGGGTCGCCAGGGTTTTGTAGCGCAGGGGGCTAATCACTACACACACAACCGTTCCCCTGTACAAAGGCAAAGCCAGACAGAGATTCCCCCATGGAGCTTGACCATACTTTTGGGGGCAATTGCTGTTGTTAGCGAGCATCTATGAAGGCCGGTACGGCGACACGACTGTGGTGAGGTGGGTGGGCCAGTAACCACTCCCGGCCGCCTTTGTCTCCCGAGACTGAGTCGATCTAGGGGAGGCCCAGGATAAAGATAAAGACAAAGATCTCCCCCGCATAGCCTTAACAGACTGTTGGGGCAAGTGTTGTTAGCGAGCACCTACGAAGGCCAGAACGGCACACGAGGGGGTTGGTGGCCAGCACCACGCCCGGCCGCCTTTGTCTCTCCAGTGGCGATGTTTTTTACGCACCGCACCAGGTACTCATTTGAGGCTGAGTCGACCCTAAGGGAGGCCCAGGACCGGTTCAGATAAATCGTCACTGATGTTGACCCTGAGCAGGACGCCCACGCACACACTCCCACACCTTTGCATAATGCCCTCTTGCTCCTCCCCGTGTGGGTTGGTTGGGTGGCTCGGTATGGTTCGGGCTGTGTGTGGGGCGGTCTGACGTGCGGACAACGAATTATCTCGCAGTGACAGCGTCCCCAGTCACAAACAGTCCACACGCGGCACACAGCGCACACGGCACAGCGCACAAGTTCACACACGGCACACAGGTGGACACACACAGCACGCAAGTTGACACACGCGGTAGACACATCACACAAGTTGACATACACAGAGCACACAAGTTCACACATCACACACAAACTCACACAGACATCACCGTCATCGCCTGAGCCATCATTCGACTCATCTCCGAGTAGCGTTCACGGAACGCAGTAACATCGAGGTTGGTGCAAGTATCAACAACTACCATCACGCGCGCATATTTATCATCAGAAGCAGCCGCAGCCATGATCAATCTACTGCTGCTGTATGAATACCTCAAGCCGTGCTTATATAGACCAATTGAATGCTATTTGATGGAAGTAGCCTGAAAGGTTGCTTGCTACACACGTGTAGTGAGGCACATTGCCTCCTGTACTCTTACTTAATGAGTTCCTTTAAAACTGAGATCGTTTATGAAATCAATATCGGGTACCAGGTAATGCGCAGAGCATCAGGGGTGTACACGTACCGTACACAATATTGTTGTAAACATATACATATTTATAGCTTTCGCAATTCCATTCGTAACATGAGAACATTTATATTCTGACTTTTCTAGCAGCTCACAGTCCACCGCCGCGCGTTACCTGGAAAAACAAACGCTTCCCGGAGATTGACATCAAATAAGTACTTTTAAAGTGTAGACAACACGACGGGTACTTCACGTCCGCAAGGTTGGCAGATTGAGGTACGTATTTCAAAACGTCACCAATTTACCATGAACAATTACCAGTGAGCAGATCGGCAACTCGCGTGTGATGGCATAAAGCGTGGGTAACTCCTGTCTCGTCAAAGACGTCCGGCCAGAGCGGAAGAGTAGGCGACATCGCACCCTTCAGAGTGCCTCTGGAAGACTCCCCTTCAATGGAGACTCTCCTACCAGCAGTTGCATGAGCGGGGCTCTCGCGTTTTTGTTGTCACCCAACCATTACCAACAACAACAGCCCGGAGTAAGACACGACGGGACGCCTCGCTTCAAATGGCCGGGCCGCCCGCACGCACGGACCTCCTGGAAAACCTCGAGGTGTCCGAGCGAGACCTCGAGGAGGACCTGCGCTACAGCGAGCCGCGGCGTCTGGCGCTCGACGTGCTCGTGGAGCGTGGCGAGGTGCCCTACCGGCAGTTTCTGGAGCGCGAGGGCATCGCGGACTTCTTGTCTCGCGGCGAAGTGGAGCACATCCGGCGCCACCTCCTCGTGCCACCGGCGGCAGAAGCGGCGTCCGTCGAATCCGCCGTCGTCGCCAACGGCGCCGACGACGGCGCCGACAACGGCGGCGGCGACCGCAGCGGCAGCAGCGGCGGCGGCACTTATTGGCCCACCGTGTCGGACGTGGTGGTGCCAGATTTGGAGCTGGGGTGGCCTTCGCCGTCCAACGCCGGGGGGCCCTGCCGCGGACAGACGAACGTGACCCTGTACGCGCAGCCTCCGCTGGGAGAAGGGGTCCCCACCATCAAGCAGGTGGTGCGGCGCATGCTGTGGCAAGCCACGCAGGTGAGCGAGCGCTGTGCGTTCCGGGACGGGTTGGAGCTTTTGGAGGAGACGGCGGGGGATTTTGGCCGCGAGGTTATTCGTCGAGCGAGTGTGCACGTTTGTTTCCAATGGACGTATGTTTTTACATTCATTCTAGACACTCTGATGATGTTACAGAAGGGCGTGCGACTTGTTAAACCAAGTATTTGGTGACACTGCTGCGCACAAGCACAATTCACAAATGCATGCGTCAATAACACTGTGTATTTAAAAGGAAAACTGTATGTAAAGTATATAATAATGGGTCCTTCTTCAGAGGACATAACATATTGCCACGAACAGAAATGTCACTTCCTTGTGACATTGCGCGCGTGCGACGTTAAACAAAGTAATGAGCCGAGAGGGACTACGTGACTGTCGGTATCGATAATTAATAAGTGAACGTGAATCGCTGGGAGGTTTCCTTGTGTGGTTGTGGCAGGGAAAGGAATTGCCTGTGCTGATACGAATTACTCATTCGTTTCATAACATTTCTGTGATCTACCAAACCCTCGCCTCCAAATGTATGTACTGTATGTTGAACTTTTTTCGCACCGTACATTAGACAACCACGCTAATCGGAGGTTCGGGGGACAGGACAACAAAACTAAACACAAAAAGCAGTTCTAAAGAAATTTGTTTTCAATCTAGACTTAAAAGTGCACAGCTCCAGTGGCATCCCCATATCGGAAGGAAGAGCGTTCCAGACGGCCGCTGAAGCGCCCCTGAAAGCGCCACGCGATACGGTGACTGTCTTCGTTTGATGGCCGGCAAATTGTCCACTGTCGTTGCTGCTGCTGCGAGGATGACTGAGTTCGCGTGAAGCCAGAGGGGCCACAGTTTTTGAGATGAACATTGCTCTCAGAGTCAGAAAGTTGCTGGGATTCAGAGGTTGCTCTTTGGTACCCGCTTCCCCATGACCCGTTCTCTTACGCAGATAGATATGCCGCTCGCACCGTAGCGTGAGGCCGGCAGCACAGTCGGAATCAAGTTGGGGAATTAAAAGGCGAACAGGTCTGTGTGTCTTCGAGTGGAATGTTTATCTTAGCGACACTATTGGGCTCGTAAATCATTGGGACCCTCAGAATCCCATGGTTGCAGGTGAAATCGTTGGAGCATGGACACCCTTGAGTCTTTAAAAGTCCGTAGATTTAGACTTATTCTGCTGTATACATAATTACATACCAGATACGGATGAAAATCTACGTTTGTTTTGTGAGACGTGTGTGTGTATATGTGGGGAGGCTCGGTGGTCAGCGCATTGCGCCATGAACCCCACGCTACCTAAGATCGAAGTCTAATTCACGGCCATGACTAATACACGCAATGACCAGCGTGGTGAAATATGGATAAACAACTCCCACGACTGACATGCCGTGGTGAAGCCTTCATCCTGCAATGGATTGAAAAAGGGCTGTAAGTTATCAGAATTTATTTTTTACTGAGTGTGTTATTGTGTGCGTACAGACCTCTGGGGGAGTGGTGGTGCAATCGTTAGCTCAACACCTATAGAACCCGGCTATCTGAGTTCGATTCCTGGGCCTCTCCTGGGTCAAATCAGCTTTGAACATTAATACCTGGCGCAGTGTATAAACAACTGCACAGAGGAGATAAAGGCGGGCAGGCATGGCGCTGGCCACAGCATCCACCCCAACATGCACCGTGGCAGCCTTAATGTGCTAACTTACATCAACGTTAAGGCAACGTTGGCCCAACGGTTCCAACCACATGCCAACGTTGTGTGGGGGCTACCGTCCCCCGCCATCACTGAATTGTCGGGGCCGTTGCCCACCGACTCCCCCGTTCCATTCATACCGCTACCCCCCTGGCTGCTCTGTCAGGTCCAGACTACCGACCCCTAATGCCTCGCCCCCCTGTACCTCTGCCTGGGATGTCGACCGCGTTTGCGTAGCTTAATTAGCGGCTCGTACGCTTTGCGCTCGCGATGCGCTACCCTGTTCAACGGCGGCGTGCCGCGGTGAGCGCGCTCGCAAAGTAAAACCCCGTCCTGCACGGGAATAAACAGGCGCGGGCGCGCCCCCGTGGGATTCCCTCCCACCCACGCTCCACGCGCTTAAGCAAAAACAAACACGCCGCGATTACTTTGCTCCGATTTAACGGGCTGTTTACACAGCTGCGTATTCGCGCACGCCAGGCGCTTAATTGGCTATTAGACAATAGCGCGAGTGCGCGCCCGCCACCCCGTCACACAGGCGCGCGAGCGTCAAGCGCTACTGTAGGCGATTGCGCAGGTACGCGAGCGCTGGGCACCACCGAAGATATTCGTGAAGGTACGCGCGCGCTGAACAATACTGTAAACGATCGTACAGGTACCGGCACTAAGCACGTTCTACTCCCTTATTCGCTGCAAACAGCCGCGTATGCGCGCGAACACAAAACGCTCCGTACACACTCGTACCGGTATGCGAACACCAAACACTCCGTCTCCCTCCTCGCATTCACAGTGACTACGACACAGCTTTATCCTATTAGTGGTTTTATTCCCAGCGAGTATCGAACTAGACTGTGTGTGTCAGTACGGACCAGCAGGACAGGTCTAACCTATCTCGCTACTGCCTGATACTTAATGGACCTGTCTGGCCTCTATTTTCTCTCCGAATTTCGTCCCTTTGTCTTACCTCTCTCCCTCGTACTTACGGTCCGACCTCGCAGCGATGGAGGTCGCGGATAGATGATGCTGTAACCAGCATCTGGCTGTTCTCTGCCCCGTCTCACGGACGTGCGAGTAACAGTCAGGTGACGGCTCCGCGATCCCTCCCTCCTGTTGATCTCCAGTCAAATAAAAATGGCCCCTTGCTTCCCCAAAGCGTCCCTTTTTATGCTCCTTTCAAAGCCCTCGCAGCGCCCATCCGCGGTGCATCACGGGTAGGGCCGTTAATCCGCGGTGCATCATGGGTAGGGCCGTTAATCCGCGGTGCATCATGGGTAGAGACGCTAGCCCGCGGTGCACCATGGGTAGAGACGCTTAACCCACGCTGCCCCGCTCCCCACCTGTCTGCTGGTCCGTGTGTGTCTTGAGCATCTCCTCACTGCGGTTCTCAGTGAGTTCGCCGTGGTCATTTAATTCTAAGTTAAGCCACGGCACCGCAGTGCCATTTGGCCTGGGGGGGGGGGGTGCCTGCCAATTCCCTGACCCTGAGAAACCGTGGAGCACCCCCACGAGGGGGCCTCTCGGGTAAAAACTCAGGGCAGGTGCCCCCCTCCCCTCCCCATGAGGCCCTACTTGAGTGTGTGTGTGTTTAGGTGGGGGGGGGGGGGGGTGGCGGGGGAAGTGCTGTGATGGGAGCCGGGTGGCTTCTCGATCGCAGCAGCACAGCGACGGCCCCGGTTTCGACGGAGCGGCTTCGCTGTTGTGGCACCACAGTTGTACCAATGTGTCATGTTTGCTGGGAGTCTATGTAGGCTGCCCGAGAGATGTCCGTCTTTGTCTTTTTTGTATACAGTGACATTTTGCAAACTTGTCAAAGACCCAGAGGGCTGGGGATTTATGTAACCGCTTTTTATAATTGAATTGGCACTGCCTGTGACTTAAATGTCACAAATGTGTCACCCTAGGGGCTTCAAGGCATCCCTCCTCTAAACCACCATATCACAGTGGTTAACGCACTGCGCTCGCTAATCTGGCAAGCCGAGTTAGGATTCTTGGCCACGGCTAACATAAGCAGCCGGTGATTATCTGAAGCCGATATTGTTGTCTTTTTCATTTTACTCGCAGGTCATTGCCATTGTGATGGACGTCTTCTCCGACGTTGACATCTTCAGGGACCTGATGGATGTAGCCTGTGTGCGCAAGGTGCCGGTATATATCGTGCTGGACAACATTGGCTTCCCCACGTTCAGGAACATGTGTGACTGCTGTGGCGTGAACGCGGGCAACATAGAGGTAAGCGGGTAGGTACTTGCTGAAGGTACAAACTCACTCACGTCCAGCTTTTTTTTGCGCACCTATTAGCACGGTTGGCTACGTACGGTGGGAAAGGAGTTTTACATACATATAGCAATAGATGTTTTATACTGTACTGGAACTTGGCACAATACAAACGATCGTACTTTGCCCTTCATTGGAATAAATTCCAGCTCTGAAAATGCAAATATAGTTTTGACTATCACGTGACAAACGTAGGGTGTTTGCGAAGTGCTGTCCCCTGCTCTGTAAATGATGAACAGGCCACTTGCAGAATTTTTCAAAAAGTTCCTGTGAAAATCTCTTGCGCAGCCGTTCTCAAGGCTGTGGATGGGGTCATGGTGGAATTAAAGGCCAAATACTGGCTGGATTGTAAGACGTACCCCAAATTTTTGCTTGAAAAATATAGGTGAAAAAAATTCCGTGATAATCGGGAGAATGCGGTAATAGATGAAATATTTTAGGGCAAGCGATTGAATCAAATTAATGTCAGTGGATGGGCTTTTGTAATAAATATTCATTGCAATTATATTCCGTCCACATTGTACCGAAACGTCTTAGAGTGCAGTGTTTTTTATAGCTTACTAGCGGGAAGTACCTGGGGCAAAAATATATTTCAAACTGCTCTTAAAAGCATAACATATACACACAAGTACTAAGCTATTGTGAAAGCCCGGCGTTCCGTTTGTCCATTTATCCATCAACTAAATTATAAGAGGATTGAAGAAGTCCTGAATCAAAAAGTAATAGAATGATGAACAAGTGACATCACTCCAAATCGAACAGCGCCCCTCATTAATAATCATGAGCAGGTGACGTCCTTCAAATGGACACCCCCCCCCCATTATTACCTACTATAATGAGCCAAGAATGTCTGTGTGCAACGCTCGTGACGTCACTCCACGTCTACAATCCCCCCTCATTAATAATCATAAACAGGTTACGTCCTCCACATGGACCCCCCCTAATTAATAATCATGAGCAGGTAACGTCACTCCACATGGACCACCCTCCCCCCTAATTAATAATCATGAGCAGGTAACGTCACTCCACATGGACCACCCTCCCCCCTAATTAATAATCATGAGCAGGTGATGTCACTCCACATCGAACAACCCCCCTCCAAATGGACACCCCCACTCCCCTCCTTCACAATAATTAGCGGCTGACGTCACTCCACATGGGGCGAGGCGCCTCCTCCACCCTCCTCGGCGTCAACTGACAACCCTCACTACAAAGGCAGAACCCTCACGTCACGTGATCTCCGTAACGCTGTTGAGACATGAAAGTAAAAAGGACGTCATGATGAACAAGGGATTATAAACTTAAAATGAAATAGGTCTGTCAATTTATCCCTTACAAACTGCACACGCATTAATGCAATGAATATATCACGTCGCGGTCTGCTTTTCGCTTGCAAGTTTCAGATTTACTGCAATACACCCGTCCTTGGACGGCCAAAAGGCTAGTAGTATATATCGACTCTATAGCAGTAGCTACTAACTCTACAGTAGTATATACTGACTATAGTAATATCTACTAACTCTATAGTAGTATCTACCGACTCAATAGCAGTATCTACTATCACTACCGTAGTATGTACTGGCTGTGGTAGTATCTACTATCACTACAGAAGTATGTACTGGCTATAGTAGTAGCTACTATCACTACAGCAGTATATACTGGCTGTAGTAGTAGCTATTATCACTACAGTAGTATGTACTGGCTGTAGTAGTAGCTATACTAACTCTATAGCAGTGTGTACTGGCTGTAGTAGGCGCTATACTAACTCTATAGCAGTGTCTACTGGCTGTAGTAGTAGCAATACTAATTCTATAATAGTACTAACTTCACAGAGTGTAGTGGTGAGGCCTAGTCCCGTGCAGAGCCCCCGGCCTCGCCTAGATTGCCCAGCCGGCCGACGTGGCACCTTTGCAGGCTGGGCTGCTAACTCCCCCTCTCACCATCCCTCCGCCCGCTCTACAATAATATTATCTAAGGACTATAATAGTAGTATCTACCGACCCTATAGTAGTAAGTGCACTCATTGTGTTGTTGCATTATTAACGCGAATGAGAATTCCCCCCCCCCACCGATCGGGTGTGTGCGTTGCTAGGGCAACCACCACCACGGAGCCGGCTTTCTCGCGCATGCGCAGATGCGTGCTCTGGCGCCTCCCTGTGCTTATGAAAAGAATAAATTGTTAATTTAACTACTTTAAAGTTGACAAGATGTGAAATAGGAATAGCGCTTTTTCGTCCCGGGGCATACGGCGTGGTATCCATGTACTTTTAAAAAAAAAAATAAGTAAATCCCATAGTTTGTCAGTTAAAAACGTGTCAAGGTACCCGCGCAGATAGACACACGGACGGACGGACAGACAGACAAAAATTGACTTTTATAGGTGAGATAAGATGGGACCACCTTTTTATTCTATTACATTTGTTTACCCAGGAAAGCCTCAATGAATCTCAAGACTCTTTTTCAGGAGGATCCTACCAAGTTTTTGCAGTAGGGGCGATGCTGTAATCACAATTGAGTAATTTGCAATTCATATTTTTCCAAATATGTATGTTCGCTCAATACCAGTTACACTGTAACCTTTCTGAACTATGCTAGGAAACCGGAGAACACAGAGGGAACCACATGCAGAAGAGGGGGAGAACATACACACCCCTCAGAAAGCGGCCTAAATCGGTCACAGTATTGAACCCAGGTCCCCTTTTTTTGTTTTGTTACTGTGACGCACAAACGTTACCACTGCAGCCCACCGAGCCGCCCTAATGGCAAGCGCGTCTCTCCGTGCGTAGAACATGCGAGTGCGGGTCATCAAGGGCACCGTGCACTGCTGTCGAACGGGCAAGAAGTTCCACGGGCAGATGCTCGAGAAGTTTCTCCTCGTTGACTGCAGGGTCGCTCTCTGCGGCTCCTACAGGTGACGCCGACACTCGTTACACTGCTGCCGTTCAGCACCCTGGCACGGAGGCTCTTGGGAGTGGCCCTTCGAGCTATGGCCTACTGAGTGAGAGATTCACCAAGTACCCTCTAGAGCAGTGGTTCTCAACCGGGGGTTCGCGGACCCCTGGAGGGTACGTGGCAATGTCTCAGGGGGTACGTTATGTGATTTATAAATGTGCGAAATTATACCATGGATGAGAATAATTGGTGAATAAATCATATATTAATCTGCCAATATAAAATCACAACGATGACATTTAAATACATATGATAACCGAGAACGATATAAAAGACCTTTATAAATTCATTGATCGTAAACAATGTGGTTTCCAAGAGTAACCAGCGAGCACGAACAAATTACGTCACTCTTGCAGTGTCCGCAGATTTTTTTTTATTATTCGTTTGCAGTTACTAACCAGTTAGAATGCTCACAAAATGGGGAATTGGTAAAAAAAATATTGATGTTCCTTATTATCTCAAAACCATGTTTAGTCAGGAAAGGGGGGTACATTCGTTTTAAACAAAATTCAACCAAGGTAGGGGGGGTGGTAACAGGAGCCAAACCAGGTAGAGAATCACTGCTCAGGAGGAGTTCCCCAGAGCTCCCTGTCATAGAGGGCTCTTATGCCAACGGTGGCATGAGGAATAAATTTCAGGGCTATGCCCACACCCTCAATGAGCCAGGTTTTAGATGATTGATGACTCTGATGGTCAAGCGGTGCTTTCTTTGGGGCATTTGCCAAAGCGCTGTAAATAGTTAGCTGGTGTGTTCAGGATTGCTTGTTTATTCAATTATCCGTAATGCCCCACAGCAGCACAGAATTCATCTTCACAAATTGGCAGTTCCACAAGTTACGTAACTTCACAGGTCAAAATGTGAAAAGCATGCTATTGGTATGCATCAGAGTATCATGAAGGTAATTATCTGAAACGCATCACCACCATCCCAGCGTGCATGTAAAATGTAGTTTGTCTCTGGATGTCTGACACCACGGCATTTTATGAGCATTTCATTGTAAGAATAATACAAATAATTTTAACTTGTAACACGCTGCACAGCATTCGCTCGCTCTCGAAGAGAGAGAGAGAGTGGCTCAGAGGCTCAAGGAGGAACCACAGATGAGCGGGGAGGAAACAGCTAGGCGGTGAGCCTGTGCCAAATTACTCCCAAGTTATAGGTCCTCTATATATAAAGGCGTTATCGGCCAATGAACGAATGTATGCATGTGTTTGGGAGGAAACTAGAATACCCAGGAGAAAAGATAAGTGGACACATTATTTGAATCCTAATGCCAGTCCTAATTGGTTTAAACACTATGCCCAAGTAAAAATACACTGCATAATTATACTAACGATCACCCACATCTTTAATGTGTCTGAAAAGTACATCAGAATGCGTGGAACTGCCATTCGCATCAACTCTATGGCAAGTCATGCACCCTCACGATTACAGTTAGATACAAACATTTTTGTTCCGAACATCTCATTAAAGATCACGTATCATTATAGTTTAACGATACGGTGGCACAAAAACTAAACTTTTTTTTATTTGACCAGGTAAGGCCCACTGAGCTATAATAGCTATTTTTCAAAAGCGACCTGGCCACACACAAATGATAGCTCAACGAAGTGGCTTATCATGTGGAAATGTTTTGGAGACAAATACTCTAAAAGCATGTTGATTCTACATGTTGAGGGAAAAACCGGAGGACACGGAGAAAAATCCACACGACCACGGGGAGAACACCCAAACTCCATATATACAGGTGTCAGTGTCGGCATCAAACCCACGACCTCCTGCATACCAGGCAAGGTAGTTAACATCTCGCCACCGTGCCGCCCATATAAAATCCACGTGTGTTTTGCAGCTTCACGTGGTCCTACGAGAAAATCAACCGGAGCATTGTCCAGGTGTTCACGGGCCAAGTGGTGGAGATCTTCGATGAGGAGTTCCGCATCCTCTATGGCCAGTCGGAGACACCAGACAGCAGCTGCAGCCCCAGCCGGGGTATCGCACAGCAGCGCGACATTTGGGACCATCGCTTCCAGCTCGACGGGAAGACGCAGGACGCACGAGCCTGGGCGTTTGCGCGCAACTCGTCAAGCCACGGCTTAAGAAACTCCTACTCGTCGATCAAGGGTGGAGGGTTCTCCAAGGACAGAACCGCCAACCCGAGCGTCGCGTCCGGTGACAAGGACTTGCTGATGATGTCGTATGATGAGGTTCACGCGAGGAAGAAGTGGCTACAGAAGCAGCAGCGCGACTCCGGCACCCCCGACAAGCCCCCGGTGCTCTTTCGTAATCAGAATGCGTCTGGGGCACTGCAGAGTCGGAGTTCAACTTGCAATGCCTGGAAGCGTCACAGCTATGCTGGGGAGTTAATGGAAAGTAGCAGCAGCTTTCAAGCAAGCAATATGTTTTTTGAGAGCAGGGATCAGGGAAGCATTCGGCCGACTGGCCGCTGCCAGGACAGTACGGCGGCCAAAATGTGCGGGCCTGCCCGCTACGGAAGTGTACGCTTTCTAGATGTCGAAAGTCAGAAGTTTAGGGGGCCGGAATTGTTTCTGCAGAGGCAGGCATCTTTACTTTGTGAAGGCTCCCAAGAGGGCTCCATGACAAATTCAGAGCAGGAGAGCTGCAAATTCACAACGCATCACAACTCGGAGAAATTCAGCAAGCTGTCGTCTTCTTCGAGGGAGGTGAAGGTAGGCTCGCAGTTTCTGAGCAGCGGTGGCAAACCAGAAGGCAATACCCCTGGCCGGCTGTACGCAATGCCACCGCAGTTCCACGAACAGAGACGGTCCAACGGTGAGCACGCCAACACGGGTGCCACAGGAAGGCAGGGAATGGCTACAAAAGTCAACTCTGACCACAAATTAAGAGCCAACCGTTACTTTGACAAGAATAGCTGTAATGAGGAAGGCAACACTTCAGATGTGAAAGGAGATGATGTCAACTACCCCGGAAAATTAGACAGGTCTCCAAGAATAACCGCCGAGGCAAAAACGACGCGGGAAATTATTAACATCAAATCTAAGTTTAAGTTTGCACGGAATTTGTGGTTTCAGGCCTCCCTACCATTGAGCAGCATGTACAAAAGGGAGTCTGCGATCAATAAATATGATGCTACAGTGGACCGTGTACACGTGGAAAGGTTTCCTAAGTATGTGTCACAAGTATCGCTCAAGCAAGGGAGGAATTCAGAAATTACAAACGATGAGAGTGAAACACATTCCAGCGAGCAGCCCTTGCTCTTTTCAAGATTCAGGACAGCTCCGAAAGATCAAGTCAAGGAGACAGTGAGAAGCTCTTTACCAATTTTGTCGGCAACCGGGGGCCAGGATCATCTTCAGCTGAATCGTCATCAAACCACGTCCATGAATAACCTTCAGAGCAAGGAAGCAACGGGCGACTGTCGCAATGGAATGCCAGCGGAACGCTCGGGCGAATTGTCCCTTCGCACGCTCTCAATGCCATCCTTCATGGAGACCGGGCCCCAAGGACTTCCCCAGGGAGCTACGATGAAGATGTCTTCGTTATGCAAAGAGGGGGAAAAGGATGAGAGCGCGATGGCAAAACTCAAAAGGTCACCAGAATTCCGATCGCTGTTTTACTTTTCGCCGGACAAGGGATACGAGCACTTTTTGAATGAAGCCGCTCAGAGGATAGATGATGCCAGGTCAGATGAGCTGGCTGGAAGACAAGCGGAGAGCAGCATCCCGAAGAACACCAAGCTTTTGGAGAAGAGTAAAGTGAACGCTCTACCTTACGCAGCCTCTCCCTCAAAGTACGAGCACATCCCTACCTCTTTCACGCTAGCCTCTGCTGAGACGAAGAGCTCGGCGCTGCTCGAGAATTTCAGTCCTGATGTCAGCACCAATTGTCTTGTGGATACAAAAAACTCCAATATGGCACCACTGCCCAGTCCCAGACTAAACGCAGGGAGCAAACTAACCAAGAGACCGAGTGAGGTTAGGCCAGAGTCGAATTACTTGGGTGGGGCTTGCCACAGAGAGTCAATCAGTGGGGCCCTTGACGAAGTGGCCCCTACAGCAGCCGACCTGACCCCAAATGATGTTGATCTGACTCACACTAAAGCACAGGAGCTGACCCCTAGAGCAGTGGAACCAGGAGACAAAGAAGTAGACCCCGATACCGCAAAGCCCGAAGACGTAAACAAGAGCATTGATCTCCGGTCGCAGGAGCTACTGCAGAAGATCGACTGCATGCGCAGAGAGAAGCGCCCTTACAGTCGCTTTGAGGTCTTCTACAAGACTGATGAGGACGACGCGGGGAAAGGGTTAGCAGCAGAGGCACCGGCGGTACCGGACACTCGTCCCGTGTGGCAGTCAAGGTTTGACGTGGACTTGGGAAGAGGTGGAGCGCAGGCGTCGCTCGCTGACTACAACCGGCTGAGCCGGCACGGCTCGCTTTCCAATCTAAACAGCTCCTTCAGGACCGACGGAGGTTTTGGTGGCCCCGGAGGTGGTCACCGAACCACTACAATGAAGCGATTAACACCGCAGCAGTTGCAGCAGCAGCAGCAGCAGCGCCACGTGCATACCAATCATCTGACCGGCGACCGGCAGAAGGAAGAGAGGCGGCTGCCTAAATTAATGCAGAGGTTCGTGGTCACGTTCAAAGCCAAGAAGAAGTAAGCAGAGGACGACGTTTCAAGAGAGGAGCGCGTGGAGAAATATTTTCTGTATATTTTTTTTTGCGGGTGGAGCAGTTGCGTAGCGGTTTCCGTACTGCGCATTGAACTCAGCGGTCTGTTTTGCTCGAACACGGCCAACATCAGTGGCGAGTGACATTTGAACTGTCCTTGCCTCCCCCGCTCCTCTCCCCCCGCCTTTACTGAGCAGCGCATTGAACGGGTTTGTGAATATAACGCACATTTACACCCACTGCTTGCCTTGGGAAATGTCTACCATTGAGATTTTGCGTAAGAGGAATTAGCGTGAGATACAACCCGGCTGAGTCTTAATCACAACGTATTTGTGTAAATAATATAGTATTTAATTTATACGTTTTATGCATGTTCAACTTGTTTCGCGCCGTACGTAGTCAACCGTGCTCATCGGAGGTTGTATTGAGTCTCATTTGCATTTACTTCCCTTTCTCAATTGACTGCTGGAGAAAGGCCCGCAGTGTCGGTCATGGGATTTTCTCACCATAATTCACCAAGCTGAACTTGTCAAAGTTGGTTTCCAAAGTGGAACTGTTTCTGTTCCATGGCCACTTGCAGGCGTCGCACCCCGCGATTCATCGCATTGTTTCATGCCGGCGTCCTGATGCTATAACCACCTGTGATTGGATGGGATTGATCCCATGCAGCTTCTTTCGACTCAAAACCGGCCCACCGCATCACAAATACATGTAATCGACAAGTTACAAAGCACGGGTAACATGTTTAAAAATCCCTGTGCGTGGGCACTTGATGCCATTTTCATCATCTTAAAGTGTACAGTCACCGTAAACTAAATAAAACAAAAACGCAACACCTTTGTCATTAGCTCTGTAGCTTTCAAAGGAAAACGTATGATCGGCGACGTTTCGGGCAATGGCCCTCCTTCACAGCACATTCATTCTATGGAGGGCCAATGAAGACAAAGCGTTGCCTGAAACATTACGTGTTGTATAGTTTTACTATGAAAGCCGCAGTGCCATTGACGAGCGTGATATTGAAGTTTTTTGTTTGTTGTGCCTGTTCACCACATATAATGTGCTTTAACTGAATCAATGGCACTTTTATGAACAAAAATAGTGAATTGTAAGCTCATAAAATGGTGTTACTTGGCATACATTGCAGAGTCAATGTATCTGTACATCTGCAACCAACGGATGATTGCAATCTCGCAGTGGTTGTGTCTATTTAAAACGAGGACTAGTGTTGACAATCGGGCAGGATCTTCCGCTCTGACCGCACAAACGATTCGGTGAGCTTAGCTGCAGAGTGAACCGGAGCAGCCTAATCTTGAACGGAACAGAATGAAGGAAACATTTTTGTCTCTCTCTCAAAAATCAAAGCATGACGCAGTAAAACCTTGCACACATACACGGCCCCATTTGATCAATTCACTGCTGGATGAGGGCCTCCCCATGTCGTGTGTTGTGAGGATTGTTTGGCAATACTTCACCTAGCTGCTCAGTATAGTCTGGTGAACGGCGAGGTGCAGGCCAGGTTGGTTGGTTAAGTGTGGGTTGGTTAAGACGGGCAGTGGGAGCATAGAAGCACGGTGCAACTATGGATTTTGTTTTTCGATCCTCGTGCCTGAAGTTTGTTCGGCAAGTTAATTCAACGTGGTGAAAATAAAGAGTCGTAGACCAATCAGTTTACAGAGGAATGTTTTTAATAAAATACATACGACCTACTTCTACATATCGTTTGCAAACAAGGTCATTTACGGTAATAAAATGTAATGGAACAAAAACCGAAAAGTACAAAGCATAAACACAAGCATTCTACTCACCTGGTATCGACAATCAAGGGTATTTCCCTGTCCCCAGACGACCTGCTTGTCAGTTTTGATGTAGTTTCCTTATTCACCAAAGTTCCTGTACCTGACACCATCGCAATAATTGAAGACTTGGTTCATCAAGGACTAAACACTGAGGTACCCCCCCTGGTGAGACACTGTTTAACCAATACATACTTCACTTGGAATGGAACTTTCTACAAACAAACTGAGGGCACCCCAATGGGCTCCCCCCTATCTCCGGTTATAGCTAACATTTTCATGTAGAAATTTGAGACTGACGCCATCCAGACTGCCACTCTGCGCCCAACCTTATGGAAGAGGTACGTGGATAACACTTTTGTCATCTGGCCACATGGCCGGCCTACTCTAGACCAATTCTTCGACCACATCAATTCCATACACCCAGCCATCAGATTTACCATGGAAGTCGAAAAAGATGGCAAGCTACCTTTTATGGATGTCCTAATAAAAAAGAGACCTGATTGTTCAATGAGCCACTCTGTTTATAGGAAAGCTACCCATACGGATGCTTATCTGAAACCGGATTCCCACCACCATCCATCACAGAAGAATTTTCTCATCAAGACTCTGTACCATAGAGCCCAATGCATATCCGACCAGGAACACATAGGCAGTGAACTTAAGCACGTACACCAAGTTCTTAAGGCTAATGGTCACTCCGACGATACAATCCGCAAAGCTATCACTCAAACCATGAAGAAGGACCCTCTTGAGGAGCCTTTAAAAACCATCACTTTACCCTACATTGCGGGGTTCACAAAAAAGATCTCCAAAATCTTGAATAAACACAAGATCCAGGTCCGTTTCAACACATTACATAAAATCCGTGATCTGGTTCCGTCTGTAAAAGATGTGATTCCGGATATACAGTACCTTGGTGTCTACAAACTAAGTTACCTCTGTGGTAGTAGTTACATTGGAGAAACCAAACGCCATGTCTCGGACCGCATTCGTGAACACAAAGCAGACCTTAAACACGGTAGGACCAACACCTCGGCCGTGGCAGATCATTGTTATAATTCAGTAGGCTCACATGACATTGACTTCTCCAAGACAGAGGTTCTTTGTAAGCCATCTGGCGACCATGAGAGATTCGTTCATGAGGCTATCCACATATACAAGCACAGAGACAATTTCAACCGAGAAGATTGATTCTGGCTTAGCAATCATTGGAAGGATTTGATAAACCATTTCAGGTCTTAATTGATTGTTCACGCTTACGGTGGCTTTCAGACAGCATACATTAATTTTTCGTCTCCCCCCTCCTCTTTTCAGAACATAGATGGACTCGTCCTTCTAAACAAACTGCCAAATCGCTACGCGTGGCGCTAACGTTTTTTTTATAAATAAATAAATACACCGTTTAAAAATAAATAAATGCAAACCAACACTTCTTTCAAATGTTTCTTGCCGTTGGTTTTTCACACCTGATGATGACCGTTTGTGTTATGGTCGAAACGTCGTGAGAATTTTTATTGTTTAATATATATTTTATTATTTTATTGTTTCCCTTCAACGTGACTTTACCGAAAGAGCTAAGAATACAAATATGCTTGTGTAGAGGGCTCACACTTTACAGGCAGAGTCACCGAGGAAAATATACACTGGGCTACGTAGAGCTGACCCACTCATACAGCCACATCGCCAGTGTCTGTTTATATAGCTGGCTGACTATACAGCAGGGGTCGGGAACCTATGGCTCGCGAGCCAGATGTGGCTCTTTTGATGATTGCATATGGCTCGCAGATAAAACAAAATATTCTCACTTGTTTTAATCCATCCATCGATTTTTCACTGCGCATGTCTTGTTCAGGGCTGCAGGAGCAATTGTCCATTATTTTAATTGGATGATACTGGCCTACGTTTGCCGTTGCTGGGTAAAACAGGTAAACGCCCCCTTTTGAATCAGTCTGAGACTGCGTCTGCTTGGTCATTAGCTCAAAGCTAACCCTTCCACGAAGAAGATGGCGAAAAGAAAAAAAGACGACGAGTATCGTACATTTCAGGACGAATGGACCGAAGAATTCGCCTTTGTGGAGAGAGCGGGTTCTGCGGTGTGTCTAATTTGCAATGACAAAATTACATCGTTGAAACGGTCGAATGTAAAGCGGCACTTCGACACGCGCCACGCTACCTTTGCATCAAAATACCCTGCGGGAGACAGCAGAAAGAAAGCGTGCCAAGAGCTTCTGAGCAGGGTGCAAGCTAGCCAGCAGCAACTCCGCGTATGGACCCGGCAAGGTGACTATAATTCGGCTAGCTTTGCTGGTTCTTTAGCAATAGTGAGGAACGGAAAACCATTCACAGATGGCGAGTATGCTAAAACGTTCATGCTGGATGTAGCCAATTAACTTTTTGATGATCTTCCGAACAAAGACAAGATAATCAAACGGATACAAGACATGCCTCTGGCGGCAAGAACTGTTCATGATCGTACCATCGTGATGGCAAACAAAGTGGAGGAAACGCAAGTGAAGGACATAAATGCAGCGCCGTTCTTTTCTCTGGCTTTGGATGAGTCAACAGACGTGAGCCATTTGTCGCAGTTCAGCGTGATTGCAAGATATGCTGTTGGTGACACACTGCGCGAAGAAAGTCTTGCTGTTCTGCCATTAAAAGGGTCCACAAGAGGTGAGGATTTATTCAAGTCTTTCATGGAGTTTGCTCAAGAAAAAAGTCTACCTATGGATAAACTTCTCTCAGTGTGTACTGATGGTGCTCCGTGTATGGTGGGGAAAAACAAAGCATTTGTGGCGCTTCTCCGTGAACATGAAAATAGACCCATCCTAAGTTTCCATTGCATTATACACCAGGAGGCACTTTGTGCTCAGATGTGTGACAGGCAGTTTGGCGAAGTGATGTCGCTGGTCATTCGTGTGATCAACTTTATTGTTGCCCGAGCCTTAAATGATCGCCAGTTTAAAACACTGCTGGATGAAGTTGTAAATAACTATCCTGGTCTGCTTTTGCACAGCAATGTGCGTTGGTTGTCAAGAGGGAAGGTGCTTAGCCGTTTTGCGGCTTGCCTGAACGAAATCCGGACTTTCCTTGAAATGAAAGGCGTCGGGCATCCTGAGCTAGCCGACACCGAGTGGCTCCTCAAGTTTTACTATCTCGTAGATCTGACTGAACATCTGAACCAGCTCAACGTGAAAATGCAAGGCATTGGAAATACAGTGTTATCCCTTCAACAAGCTGTATTTGCTTTTGAAAACAAGCTGGAGCTTTTCATCACGGATCTTGAAACAGGTCGTTTACTACATTTTGAAAAACTGAGCCAATTTAAAGATGCATGCACAGCAAGTGAGCCCATTCAAAACCTTGATCTCCACCAGCTAGCTGGCTGCACATCCAGTCTCCTACAGTCCTTCAAAGCACGCTTTGGAGAATTTCGTGAGCACACTCGTCTTTTTAAGTTTATCACCCATCCAAACGAGTGTTCACTGAACACAGCCGACCTGAATTACATCCCTGGTGTCTCCGTCAGAGATTTTGAAGCAGAAGTGGCTGACCTGAAGGCCTCAGACATGTGGGTGAATAAGTTCAAGTCACTGAATGAAGATTTGGAAAGAATCACACGACAGAAAGCGGAGTTGGCGAGCAAGCACATGTGGACAGAAATGAAAAAACTCCAACCCGAAGACCAGCTGATTCTCAAAACTTGGAACGCGCTTCCTGTCACATACCACACACTGCAGCGTGTGAGTATTGCTGTATTGACCATGTTTGGATCTACGTATGCATGTGAGCAGTCATTCTCACATCTTAAAAACATCAAGTCCAACCTACGATCACGTTTAACGGATGAAAGCCTCAACGCTTGCATGAAGCTTAACCTCACCAAGTACCAACCCGACTACAAAGACATCAGCAAATCCATGCAGCACCAGAAGTCGCATTAATGGTGAGTGTTATAACAACATTATTTAAAAGAATAAATTCAGAGGCTTATTATACTGACATTTAGTTGAATTCACTTTTAAAATATATTATATGGCTCTCACTGAAATAAATTTCCAAATTTTTTGCTTTCATGGCTCTCTTAGTCAAAAAGGTTCCCGACCCCTGCTATACAGCGACGATGACAATGGGGCCGTACAGTGGATCGGCTATATGGCCGGACGATGATGAAGAAATGACGGCGAAGATAGTGACGGCAGCCAGGATCCGAACCCCCACGACAGCCCGAACCTCCGGTTACCTCCATCTTATATACTCCTCAGCGTGGCCAAGCCCCGCCTCTGGCCACGCCCCCCTTCTAGAACTCTCGTGCAGGTTCCAGGAGCTTCCCGACTGATCCCCGCCTCTGACCCTTGGCCCAGTTACGCCCCCCTTATGGTTGGCTGTTATATAGCGCACCCATACGTGTAGTTATCCTTCATGGTCAACAGATGGCACCCTGTCACTACACTTGGAATCACACTGAAAGAGGAACATGTGGATTAGGGAAAATACGCAGGTTAAAGACATCAAACTGTTGCTAGCGAAGAGTTAAAGAACAGTGATGGAGTGGCAGCCAAAGAATGAAATGCCTCAGAGAGGATGTCTACTGATGAGGAGCAATCAAATTAGCTCGTGTTCCAGTGTAGTGAAACACAATTCTCGTGTATGAAGAAATTACGAGGCGATATGAACCTTATGTCGGTACTCCGGGGTACCATAGTGTAATGTCCGTGATGCAGTAATTTTTAGTCTGTTGATGGTCGGCGATGCGACAATCGACGCATCTCGACGAGCTGTACACGATGCACCACTACGGTGCGTACGAGCGTTCAGGGTTTCAGTGCAATGGTCCTCGCTGCGTTTCGACATCGCGGAGTGTGGCACTGATTTCGGATTGATTGGTACCCCAGTCGCGGAGTTAGGTAACACCCCTGGACAAAAATAGTGTCCCAGAAATAAAGTATTTAATTCAATCTTGATTTGAAGCTTTCGTGAATGCAGGAATCCATACTCTTTGGTTCTTTCGGTAAAGCCACGTAGGTAGAAA